GGAGCTTGCTGGTTTTAAAATGCTTACATTTCCAACTCTGCCTCGCAACCCTTTCAGAACGTGCTGCGACCCAAATTTGGGTCACGACCCATGGGTTGACAATCGCTGCCATAGGAAAAGTACTATAATTAAGCATTATTAGCAAGTGACATGGTGCTTTAAAAATAGCTGAAGCCACATAAAGCAAATTGTACAGTACACTTACACTGCAGGTAACAGAGAGGTGCAGAACACATTATAAATGGATACACAGTCATCCAGTGGTGTTCCAGGATAACTGCATGCATTTAATCCCACAATTTGTTTAACCTATTGTGTTGAACTGAGCAACCTTGGGAATTTTTAATGCTTACATCTGGCAAGTGATAGTTGTCCAAAAAGATACAGTTGATCATTTGGGATTTGCTGAACGACTATCTGACCCTTAAATAATAGCGACTGATGAGGCCCAACAGAAGATCCAAAGGCGGGAGGCAAGTTGCATACCTGACAGTCATCTGTGACCGTCGGCCTCTGCGCTGCACGTGCCTGTGTTTGATCATGATGTTCCAGGGATTCTGAAATTCCGAGAACAACCCATCCAGTAACACTGAGCAAACATCGGCGCCACTGCCTTCAGAGTAACTGCATCCGAAACATTAACATTTTATTTATTTGAAAGACACTTCTATCTGTGTAACTGAGAAGGCAGGTCAGCCAGTCCATGGTGCATTTGGGGTTAAGGGTCTTGCTGAAGAGCCCTTAATCCAGAGTCGCTCACACCTCCCTAAGAGGAACACCTATATTAGCTTAACTGCAGGTCTCACAGAAAGTCTTGGAACGTTAACTTCATTTTGTAAAAATGTTGCAAATTTATAGGTTTCATAACCAACGTCCATTGACAAGCAATGTTTAACATATCCTCACATTCCTTCCACACAGACTTTTTCTTTTTATTAAGTGTCATAATTTTCTTGACGGAGTTTTGTTCTTGCCATTTTGCTATTAATTGCAAATGTAGTCACTGGCCCGAAAGGGTTGCTAAACACAAATGTTTGGCGTTTTCTGTTATTGCATAGGTGTTAGTAATTAAAAACCACCCACTGAGACTGCTTGTCAATTAACTTCTTTACTCAGAACAGCTCTTTTAGAACTGTAATCTGGGTTTCAATTTATTACTACTTGAAATAAATATTTTGCTTGAGACTACTGGTTGTTTCTAATGTGGAAATATATTATGTAAATAAATGAAGTTATCATTGTTATGAAATAAATATATCAATTTGAAACATACAGAATTAAGTAAAAGTCCCAAGACTTTATGTGCGTACTGTAAGTATATCCAGGATTTTAATCTTTTGCATCCAAAACAAAAATCAAACCCCCAGACCAAACAAGCCGGCCAAAACATTTCTACTTCTGCACTAAACCCAATTGCCTGTTCACAAAAATAGTCTGCTGATTAAAAGCCCTATTTAATGTAAACTAAAGCCCTAGCTTTCTAGCAATAGGAACTCCCCACACCCCCAGAGTACCCATATCCACTGCGTACTATAACACAAATTATGTCGCGTCCAGATATAATCATAAATTTTGTATTAGTCAACCAACTAATAATACCCTGGTAGCTAATTTATACTTTTTATCACAATGTTCATTTTGATCAGAAGCCTCACATGGTTTAATTGACTTACGTGCTGCTCTGCAACATCTTGCTGAAGCCAGTCTCTTCTCCCCTCACTTCGATGAGCACCCATTAAAGTATTTTATTAATACTATTATTTTTGAATGCGAGCCGGATAAAATAATGAAATAAGACGATCTTTGTTGTTTATCGATCTGTATATTTATATCAAACTATGTCCAGCAAGCATTTCCTGATTTGAAATCTCACAGTTTTATGTTAACCGCTAACCACGGACGACAAAAGTTATGCAGTTTAAAAAATTTCAAAGATGCCTATTTTGAGGAATACGGTGTGCGATTTTAACATGTTACAAACAACCAAAAAACAGTTAATAAACAACACAGGATGCTGATCCCCTCTTACGCAAAGCAGTATGAATCATCACTTCCGAGAACTGCCTGCTCATGGCGGCCGCCCTGCCTGCATCGCTTCCGCTATGGCGGCCATGATTATAAGGGCAAAACTTTTAAACAACTAAAAACACCCACAACGCGAACAAAAACGCTTCAGTTTATTTCATTTCTGTAGTGTAATTGTTGGACCTGCGAAAAAACTCAATTAAGTCACCCACTGCTCGAGTTACAAATAGGTTATACACTTGGATTTTTTTTTTTTTTATTTGTAAAAAAAACATTTACAAACTATTCTTTTCTGTTTTAATGTTACCAAGGCTGTGACCAGGAACTTGTTTGCAGTTAGGTTTATTGGGACCATCTGCTCATCTTTTAACTAATTATCCTGGTCATGGTGGGTTCCAGACAGCATAGGGCACAAGATTGGGTTAAACGCCATGGTTGGATGCTATAGTTTACCACAGGTCACACATACAGGGTAATCATGCACTGCTACAGGCAATTTAGAGATGATAATTATCCTAACTGTATGACTGCAGGTGGTGAAAGGAAACAAAGCCATGCTACACTGGGGGAAAGTCCGTGCAAACTCCACACAGACAGAGCGCTACTCACACAGCAATGTAGAATTGAAATGCTTAGTCATAAATAGACAAGGAAACATTACCCCCTATACTGAGTCAACCACAGGATAGATGCAGAAACTATTATATTAAATGACAATAGTTAGGAAGTTAGTAGAAACTGACTACTATAAATTTGAAATTTATATAAATAAAATATATAAACACAGCATCATAAAAAATTAAGGTATATTACATTCTCTGTATGGAGCAATATTAAGGCAAGCCAGAAGGAAACAAATTCTAAAACATTTTGCAATTGAAATTAAAACCTTCGAGAAAAAAAGTCAAAAGTAGAAATCTGTCAGTGTGTGAAATAGCTTGTCTATAGGAGGTGAATGGTTTACATGCCACCATACAGATGCTTCACATTCAGATGGTTTCTGAGCTCATTCTGCACGAAATGAAACCTCATCACTCTCAGAAAAAAGGGTAAAAATTTGTACTTTTGTAGTCACTTGGGCTGTACCCTCAAGGGTCTGCCAAATGTACCCTTAGATGTAGGTGATTGTACCTTTTAAAGTACACAAATGGATTCTGGGGAACATTTCTGTACCATTTATTGTGCATTAATGCTGTTTGCACCTTTGGGATGTTTCTCAGAGTCCATTTCTGTACGTTAAAAGGTACAATTACAAGGGTACGGCCCCTGAGATAAGCAAAGGTACAAATTTTTACCCTTTTTTCTGAGTGTCTGCAAGATATCCAACAATAAAAGTGAAAGAGGAATGTATTTTCGAGACCAGTTGTTTATCCAACTTCACGGATGAGATTTACGATTGTCTCGGAGAGCGCATGCACGCGAAAGCAACGGCGGTAAACTGATTATTTTTTTTACATATATACTAAACTACTTAGTGAAGAAACCATCAAAAAAATAAAAAATGCAAAGCTTGCTAAGTTTTTGTTTTCAGTGACTGAGTAAAAATGTTTTAGTGCATCATGTTGATGATGTGAACGCAGGATGTTACCAGGGGACAATTGCACATGAAATGCCATGTAGAGCATCACACATCGTGCACATGTGCGAAGGCGACCCGGCGCAGTGGGCCGCTGTCGCCGCACACCACCACTTTGTGTTTGTCGCATGTTCATGCTGTGTGTGCGTGGCTTTTCGGTGGATCCTCTGGTCTCCTTCCAATGTCCAAAACATACAACTTAAGTGAATTAGAGTGCGTAAACTAACCGTATGTGTGACTGAGTGTGAATCCTGCTCCGGTAGGTTGGTTCCTGCCTCAATGTAAACGATTACTCAGTGCCACCAACTTTAGCCAGCTGACTGGCGTGTGATTTTCAATTCGAGACAAGTTTGCACACTCATTTAAATGTATGTTACAGTTTTATTAACTTGTAAATAGTCTGTAAGATTTTAAACTACCCCAACGCTTTTGATGCAGCTAATTAAATTTTTTTAATTGAATAATATAAATTTGCCGTAAGATTCCTTGCGTGAGTGTGAGTGTCTGAAAGCGTGAGTGTCACGCCAGATGCGTGAGAGTTGGCAGTCCTGGATTACTCGATGAAATCGTCAGATTAATTGGTAGATAACTCAATTATTAGTAGAATGGATAGCAACAACCTTTTTATCGTTTAGATTTAGGAATACTTCAACTGCAACAGCGCATGTAGGCTCCATAGCTCAGGGGTTAGAGCACTGGTCTTGTAAACCAGGGGTCGCGAGTTCAAATCTCGCTGGGGCCTTTGTACTTTTGCTTTCCACAATTTTCAAATCTGGGTCTTGTGTGCATAGAATAAACTCAAAAGTTGAAACAATACCTATAAAGCCACGTTTGACACCACTGGTCTTTATTAATTCTTGCACAGGAATCCACATGTAGCCGGTCTAGATTAAATTCTTCAGGAGTAAAGATAATTTTCTGAAAAATTGTGTCCAGTCAGAAATGTAAAAGGAATGTTTCTGACATAAATTCATATTCAAAATATGACTTCCTCAGAGAAAGTTTCTAATTCAAATCTGAAATATTTTTCAATTTGATACAGGGCAAAATGACATTAACATTTCAAACAGCTCTTAAAATGCTTAACTGACTGGCATGGTTTCCACTTACTTTGCTATTTATTTTATACAGCAGACATCTAGTTCTACTCTTGAAATATGCATACAATGTGTGCTAATAATCAATCTATGTTCCAACCAATTATCCCAGTCAGGGTCACTGGTGGCACTTTGGGACCATCTTAGGCAGCAGAAAGCTCACATAGAATTCAAACTCCCAATCCTGGAGGTGAAAGGCAAGAGTGCTACCCACTTAAGAACAATTTTTTAATAATGAAGATGCTGAAATGTGATACAAGGTGGTCACAACACCTCCACAAAAAGAAGAGAGAGAGAACCAGTCATTAGGATTGTTTTAATGGTTGTTTTATGTCAAGATGTTGCTGGTTTATTAATGTGGAAAAGCAGTTACCTTTTATTTTACAATGCACAACCAACCCTTCCTGTAGATAGTAGAAAAACTGAAACCAATCACATTTCCACTGTCTTATTCAGTATTATTTCAAAACACATCTATAACAGTACAACACAGTGCTGCCAACTAGAGATATAAGTTGTGTAGGGAGATTTGAAATCCGTAATTTGTGTGTACTGAGGAGCATTAACAAAAAATTATCAAAATGCGTAATGTACTGCAGGATGCTATAAATGCCATTTACCGCAAGTCAGCAGATCTGAAAACTGACACACACAAACATAAATTAAGGCAGTGTCTGGGAGAGCTAATTTAAATTACTTATGTGCATTAACAAAATTAGCTTACACTAAGGGTCTATAGATGACATATTTCACGTGGAGCAAATGTGGTCCAACATGTTTTTAATGGTGTAAAGCGAAATAACTGCACAACACTGATAATCTATTGTCGGAGACTGGGTAGAATGGATTAATATGCATATACATATTTCTTTTCACCAGCTCTGCTCGTTGGTTGCACATAAAAAAAGATATGGCAATTAGATTATCTACAATATAACACCTTAAGGGGAAGTGGACAGTGATAAATAATGGAATCTCAAACCTTAAACTTTATATATACACGTTATCACACATTAAAAAAAGATGAAGACAATATATGATAAAAATTAACATGTACATAGACCCTAAAAACTAAATTTATATGAAGATAAATCTCATATATTTATATTTGTAAGTGAAAAATATCTGATCATGCAAAATAAATCCCAAAGAAAACATCCATATTTCCACCAGAACAAAAAAATTATAAAAATAAACTACAGGGGTATTTTTTGCTGGTTACACCTGTGTATTCTTGCATTCATAAACAATTATACTTTTACACATAGATTTTTTTTTCCACGTAACACTTTGGTTTAAAACATTTTCTATTTCATAAATTGTATAACTCAAAATTTGCTTTTGTAAAATTAACACAAATGTGAAATTCTGGGAAAAAAAAAAAACAGTGGAACAGCAAATTTATCTTCTACACATTTTGGTAAAACTGTAGCAAAGAGGGGGAAGTTATTCTGTACAGTATCTACAGGACTTTGCTGGTGACAGCGATATACACTGGGAGGACAGCTGTCTGGTGCTTGTAGCTGCAGTGAATGATGCATGGTTGGGATGAGGCCCAGCTCAAACAGGGCACCACGGCGCACATACATGAGGAATACAAGCTTATAATCAAAATGCCCACCATGATGACGTGTCATTCCAACAGCATTAACAAATGTAAGCCTTTCCCATTGCTTTTCCCCCTCCTTGAAACTGATCCATTTGAATACTAAATGAATTCCAAGTATATTTGCCGACACCATTCTAAATCCATTTTTTTTTGCCACAACTGACACCCCCCCCCCCACAAATCAATTATTCTACAATATACCAGGCGAGCCCTGAAACGACTCAATTAATGATTCTAACATGTCGACCGTAGCAAGGTTGCCCATTACAAAATAAAAGCCTTCCAATGAAAAAACACCAAATATTTAAAAATTTACATTCATAATGCTGCCCAGTGATAATCTCGTGCCTTTGTAAACATTTATACAAAATGAAAAGAAGTGTGTAGTACTCAAAAAAAAGAACAAAATTTGCATTTGGTTCTTATGCCATATTATGGGTCATTTACAGTAATCATAAAAGGATGCAAGCTAATCTCCTACTTCAAATAATTTTGGAGATACAATCCATTCTTAATTTAAGGCATATGAGCATTTAACCTTCCATACTTATTATGAAACCAGCATTTTTTACCTGTTTCCAGACAAACTAGTTTGGGGGTAAGTAAATAGTGTAGAAGCCCAAAGAGAATCCCTCTCAGAGTACTATTCCAACCAAAGTTAAGTAGACACTGTAATTTGCAATTTTGCCAACCCAGGGTACTAGGAAGGCATTGTGAAAATGCCAGATATGTGTGGCATTTTAAAGTGGTGAACTACAAATGGGGCCACTCTTAGCTCAGTGTTTCATAATGAAAATCATCTCATTTAGCTGAATTTCAATGAATAACACCAACACAAAGCAAAGGGAAAGGCATTCAGTTTACATTATCTTGCTGTTGTGGGACTTAATGCTTAGTGTAATTTTAAACTGTAACTACAGACACATGAATGTATGGAAAAAAAAAATTAAAATAAAAAGCCATCTATTTCAAAACATGTCAGCAATGCCAACGCCTTTGTCTTCTCCCTAATCCAACCCGATTTCGCGTAAACTGCAAAAGTCTGGGGCCATGTCACTGCAGGTCATACAATTATACCGAACCCTTGAAGAGGCAAGTAACATGTCTTTTGCCTTTTCTACTCTACCATAAAGAGGGAACTTGAGGGGGTTTTAAAATGAAAAGAAAAGGAAAACATAGCTGCCTAAAACATGAACCCCCACCATTTCCAATGGCACGTCCACTGCCAGCTCTGGTCCTGAAGAGCACAGATGTGTTTGACCCTCATCGGGGAGGATTTTGCACCTGTCAGCTGAAGAGGTTAAAACGTCACTCTATGTGACAATCATTTTGACGAATACATTTTGTGAAAGGTGAATTCGAATAAATGGGCCAGAAATTTGGACATAAAGATCAGTTACACAAACTCTCAGTATGGGAATTTTTCATTTGACAGAGAACAACAGGTGAGTAATCCACAAGAAATACCTAATTATGTGAAATAGGGCTGGACAACCCAGGTCTGTAGAGAGCTGTGGGATAATGCAGGCTTCTTTTAAATTGGTAACCGGCTTACATCTCCAGAAACCCCCCTCCCCTCCCCCCTACTCGAGTTACTCTTAAGATCTAGGATTAAGCCAAAAAACCAGCACACCCCCAACCCCTGAAGGACCAGGGATTCTCTCCCTCTTGGGTAATATCTGGATTATTGCTATAGAGGACCAGTGAGGGGGGGGGGCCCTGCTGGGGAAAGAAAGCTTAAAAATGGGACAAAGGCAAAAGAGAAGCTGAACAAGATTGCCAACTCACCCCTAACTGGATTCTCTCCCAGCAACCAGGTTTAACTCCCAATTTTTTTTTGTTTAATCTGACCAGAGAGCACTGCCAGATATCATAGCACTAGTTTAAAAGGCCGATAAACAACTGACAGAATTACCAGATTAATAACGACAATGATAAAAAAATAGCTACTAATACTACTATTATTACTACAATTATAAAAACAACGACGACGACAACAATAACAACAGGAACGACAACTTAGTTAAACTAATATTAAATAATAGTCCAGGCAAAGAGAGTAAACAGATGCAGGCACCTTGCAATGCCATCCTGTCTGGGTTCAGACCCCAGAACCATCCGACAGCTTCCCTAGCTAGCCTAAGCTCAGAGCACTCCCTCTGCCCGTGTGTGGCCTAGACGCTCCCAGTGTCCGGGGTGCTTTTCTCCGTTTGGCTGGAACTGTCCTGACTTCCTGGGGAGTCCAGCGTCCCCACCGGTCTCATTTTGGAATCTCTGTCGCCCGTGGCAGAGCCGGTCGAGGGCCCCGGGGAGGCCAGGGAGCGGCCGGAGACGCGGTAGGCGGCTTGCAGCTCCTGGATGCGCTCAGCGGTGGGCTCCCACTTGGCGAAGCCGGCGGCGTTCTGGAGGAAGATGATCGCCGTACTGTGGACTGCCTTGTAGTACAGCTCCTCTCTGGGAAAGATAAGGCAGAGTTTCCATGGAGTTGGGCATTTGATACCTTCTAAAGACATCTTGCTTAAACTTGATTTTAAGCTTGTGATGTTCTATTTATTTATTTCTTGTGTGTTTCTGTATAGGTGTATTTATTGCATATGTGTATAACTGATTTTTGTTTTAAATGTAACTATTTGGTAACACTTTAAGGCCATGTTTTTGGTAATTTATAAACACATTCATAACAATACATTCATAAAGAATTAGACATGGCTGTATTTATCAAAAGGCATAACACATTATAGCCATCTATATTATGCATTATGAATGCTTTATGGACCTCTCATCTATAATGCACGACAGATACATTTGAACTTTGTACTGCATTATAAAAGTATGTATAGGGCATTATAGCTGAGAGCTTCATAAGGCACTCATAATACATAATAAACATGTCTATACATGCCTATAATGTGTTATGCCTTTTTCTAAATATTTATAGCCATGTTTATACTGCTTTATGAATGCATTATAATATGCTATGAATGTGTTTATAAATTATTATAGTTATTTCCATTATGGTAAATTAGGGGGGCACCTCTTGCAGATGTGCTGTGAGCCGCTACGGTACTCGTGCTCGAAAGCCTGCACAGTAAACTGGTGCCGGCGGAAGCGGCTGGCCTCCATGCGCGTCAGAGCGGGGGTGGGGGGGTCGCGCCACTCTGGGATGAAGATGATGAAGGACAGGGGCTCACTTGAGCGCTCCAGGAGCTTCTGCACCACGGGGGGGGGCAATCAACAGGTAAGTCAGTGTATTTGGCATGAGGACTGTGGTGGCAACAACAAGAATTGGTTTAACATTCCGATTTTAGCCACCTGTTTGGGCTGCACCCTGGAAATAGCTAACTGTTAACAGTACTAGCTGTCCAGATCTAGTCACTAACTTAGCATGGTTACCATCTTTGCATTGGTGTGTTGTCACAATAGACAAACTAGATGCTTTTGATAAGTGGAGTGACTGAGATTAACACTCTCGGCAGGGCAGAGGTAGAGTCCATGCAGGCCGCAGAGAGGGAGAAACCAGACGCACCTCAAAGTGGGTTACCATGGCATCCATCAGCTCCTCACAGAAAGGTGGGTTGGCCTCGAAGGAGCCACTGACAGGTGAGAAGCTCAGAAAGGGCCTGAGGAGGCAGATACAAAGGAGATTGTCCACGACTCATAGATATATACTAGTCCTGCTTCTAACAGAAATGGAGGACTAGGGTAGAACATTCGGTAACGATTTACACTGCAGCTCCATAATGCCTTTATAATACATTCATAGATCATTCATAATTAGTATGCAAGAATATCTTACTATCCTAACGCAACAGCTTTAATACACATTAATAACAAACATCATATAATAAACATTATAATCATATGTTTCTTAATGTATATTACAGCATTTAAGGTATGTTAGGATATACTTGCATGCTGCTTATGAATGTTCTATGGACACATAATGAATGTATTATGAAAGTGCAGTTAATGTAATGTGCTACCAAACATTCTCCAAAATATTGCTATGGAAAACAAAGAGTGGTATGTGCGCACACATGTCTTCTCCCCATCAAACATTTAATTTGAGAATGAAAAATATCGAACAAAGACTATTTCCTAACTTACACTGTAAATTGGGGCTTCAAGTTAAGGCTTTCCTGGTTTTACTATAAAGCCAACAGTCAATTGCGATATACAAACCTATACCAAACCGGTCTGTTTAATCCATGGGGGAAACCACCATGAAAACGGTGAAACAGAGGAAAACTTTAAACCAATTATTAAAAGTATAATAGATAATTCTGAAAAGGAAAAATCATTAAAATTGCAAACCTAGCTAAAGTTTTTCTTTTCCTAACACAGAGTAAAAATGTTTCAGCAAAACTTTAGCCCCCCTGCGCTATAATGTCCACACAGAATTAAGGTATGAAAAAGCCTGATCTTAATCTAGCTTACTAGTAGTGATGTAGTCAAGACCACCTAAACCGAGTATCAAGACAGGGACAAGACCAAGACCAAGGCAGGCTAAATTAAGTCAAGATCAAAAACGGACTACATAATGTAACACGTTAGAAAATGTGGAGCATAGGTACCATCTTGGGGCTAGGCAGAATGGCCTAAAATTTGTATCACAGTATCATTTGAACAATGGATGTTTTTGCTTAAAATGTCGATATAAATTCTTGTTTTTCAAATAAGATACACCTTACTGGATGCATTTGAACTTTGTTAACCATTTGAAACCTATCCATTTTTGAGTGTTTTTCTATCCCTTTGATTTTAGGCTTATTACACAGTATGCACATGGGTTAGCCACAAATGCTTTATGGTTTTGTCGTCAGGACATTCTGGGCTGCTCAGATGAATCATAATTTGATGTGTAAATGCTGTGCTGACAGTCTTGAGGTCACCTTCATTATGTGGAAAAACTACTTGTGACTCTTGAAATTTCTCAATTTTTAGTCCCATTGAATATAAAAATTTGCAGGAACTACAAATATACATTTTACAATTACTATTTTACAATATCTTATAAAATGTTGAAATTAGAGTCTCTGTGATGGGGGAATGCAGGAGTTTCATTGGGGACCTTCCTGCGGCTTAGTTTTCTGAAGAAATACACGGTTAGTGTCAGGCGGAAATTAATATCTTTGATTTTGCATCCATTTGGTAACTTGCTGAAGTAGTCTGATAGACAGCAATGCATGGTCTTATATTTAATTGTATATATTTTTTATTACTTTATAACATTATTACTTGATATTCATTCATGATGCATAATACACGACTATATCGTTATGCCTTTTTATGAATGTTTATAATACTTTATGAATGTATAACGCAAGATCCATAATGTTAAATGTATAATGCAATATAATGACTGTTTTAAAGTGTTGCCAATATTTTTCCCCAGAGAAGTAGTGTGTGGATCATTGTGGAAGTGAACATGCACTTTGTTTTCCGCCTAAGGTGAAAATCATCGATATTTTATGGATTATTAGGGGTGCTTTTTTGTGGGAAAAAAAGGAAATATATGCCTCATTATGCACAGAATTTCAGCACACAACGCAACTTGGATGACCGGATTGAGTAATTTCTCTCGACTACAAACATATGTGATTCCTGTCTGTGCGTTATAACTATCCAAAGTTACGAGCCTAAGGTTAACGAGTGCGAAAATCAATGTATTTTACGCTTGTTGGGTTCTCAGCATTAACAAATATGGATATTAAGCTGTTGTGATGAATATTGAGACGTTTTAATAAGTGGTCTTGACTGGTCTTGAAATAAAACCTCAAGTCCTGTATGTCCGAGACAGACAAAATAAGACCAAGACCTAAAAAAGTGGTCTCGAGACCAGTCTCAATGAGTCTCGAGTACAACAACACTACTTACTAGCAATGTAAGGGCGATGTTCCACTGCACTACTGTATTTTAGGTACTTTCGGTACTTCCATGAAGTACCAAAAGTATGGTACTTCTTTTGTGTCGGTTTTCCACTGGCGTAGAAACTGGTACCAGCGCCAAATGACATCATCAGTGATCGCCCCTAACTGACATCATCACAAAGCGCGACGTGGTATTTCTTTTGCTGAATTCAAACATGTTATTATGATCCTTCACTTTCCTGTAGTCCTGCTTAAGTTTTTTGATTTTCAAGCGGCATTGTTGGGTGTTTCGCGTGTGCCCCATTTCTTCCAAGCGGCTTGCTATTACAGCAAATACTTTATTATTCTGAGTCGTGTCATCCAAATCCCAGTGGATCTGTTCATCCGACCATATGGCGATTAAGCCTGAGTTTCCTCGTTTGTCCATCCTTCCGTTTTACTTTTTTTATATTTTTGTTTCTACTGCTTTTTATTTAGTTTCTCGCTGTATTTTGTGTTTCAGCGGCAGGCTATCTGCATAACCATTCAACAGCAAATACGTTTGTAAGTCCCACCCCAAAGTACCGAAGTACCAAAGAAGTACCCCAGCTGGTTTGGCACTTTCGGTACTGGTACTCAACCGGAAGTCAATGGAAAAGCGAAAGTACCAAAAGTACCATACTTTGTGCGGTGGAAAAGTGCCCTAAGAGTTATATGTGCATGACATGCAATGCTGGTATTAATAAATATCACCACCCGGCTATTATTATTTGGAAGACAGTAGTACACTTCAGTTTCATTTTATTTGGAGGTTTGGTAAAAAAATGTGAATGTCATGTAGCTGGTGAATTTAAACATACTGGAAAATAAATAACTTTTATTATTTAAATCTGTTGCAAAGTTGGGTGTACAGCAACTCATTTTCAGTTAATTGTTAGTTGTTCCTCATTCCAGGCACAGAGCACTTTATTTTGAGAGTTATTTAAGTGAGAGAAGATCCGGTAGCTTAGTCTACTTTGGGGGGAATTTCTTTTATTATGAAAATAAAATTTAACAAAAAAGTTGGAAGAAGAGTTGGTTTTTGTTTGTTAATGCTGTCAATTTTAGTTCTAAGAAAGAAATTCGGAATCTGCAAAAATCAGTATCGACCAAGAAAATTGCACCCGGTGCATCTTAGCCCAAATGGGTATAAAGCACAGCTACACAGTAATAGGGACTAAACTGAAAACAATACCATACTTTAAAAAAGTAGCTAGTGTCATAGAGCAAGGTTAGCCACAGTGAGCAATGGCGCCAAACCTCACCCTCGTGAGCCGAAGAAGCCATCAATGTCCGGGGAAGCGGAGCAGAACTGCTTGAAGTAACAGTTGAGTGGCGATGCAAAACACTCAAAGCTGACCCCGAACTGTTTGTTCAGAGCTTCGAACACCGGTACAGGCAGGGCCCCCTGCAAGCCTGTCCCCTCGTGCACGCCGGAGCCAAACATCACCTGCAGAGGAAGCACAGTCCACGGTGACAAGGGGCATTCTTCAGAGTTAGAGTTAGCTAAATAGCACCACTGCTAAAATGCACTTCCAATTACCTGGTATCTCTTGATAAGGCACCACACTCGTGAGAGGAACTTCTCAAACCTTTGATCATCAATGCAACTGTACCGGTATAGAAGCTCCTAAAGACAAGAACCAAAAGAAAAGAGAATTTAAGCCATGAAGAGCCCATAGTTGTGTTGTTTTGGGTTAGGACATTCTGGAAGGTCATCAGTTCAAATCCCATGACCAGCAGATTAACTGTATCGCTGTCGACCCTTCAGCATGACCCTTAGCCCTCAAAAACGGCTCCACTGGTGCGAGACAAAACTGGCTAATCCTGCGTTATTTGGCATGCTAAATATCTAGATGTTGTCGTTGACTCTAAGTCCTGTAGGTTTGAAAAGTATCAGCGCTACAGCCAATGAGCGCGCGAGACATGGGGTGAGGCAAAACCCAAAGGTAGGAGTTTCAAAAGGTGTTAAAAAGGCGCGCACACACGCAAAATAAGCAGATTACATGAAAGCTGTAATATTTAATACAACAGTTGGTTTCTTAATAAACACAGTGACATTGCACTAAACGGCTCACATCAACAAGATTCCCTAATTTTTTTCTCCTCACCAGTTTATTGAAGTAGTTCCGGTTGACCTTGACCATCTCGCCTTTGAAACGCAGACAGGCGACGTCATTTTCAAAGTGCAGCTCGACACGAGGTTGCGGGGGCGAGGGCAGGGCGAGTCGGACGGGATAGCAGTACACAAGTCTGTCCTGCACCTCCTGGGCTTCCACTCCATCTACTGGTCCAGAAACACGAGGAGGATCAAAGTGCAGGGTCAGTTCAATTTGAATATGGCGCCTTTTATAACAATGTTACTCCAAGGCACTTAACAAGAATGTGTGACAATATTATTAGTTGATTGACTATTTAGTGTACAATAGTGTCCCTGGGGAAAGTTGGGGTTATGGCCCTTGCTGAAATACCCAACAGTGGCATCACACTGCCAATCTTGGGATCTGAACCAGCGACCCTTTAACCACAGACACACGATCCTAACCAGCAGTAGGTTTTGTTCCCCCTTTTGGACTGGAGCAGCAGGCGGCATAGGGATTTATGAAAAAAATCCAAATGTTTCACATTTCCCAGAAGCTCTTGGAAACAGAAGAAGACATACCAGCAGCCGAGTAAGGTAATTTGTCATTGTACAAAAACAGTGCTACAGTTTCTTGGCCACCCTGTAACTTGTGGTTCCTTAATCACTGAAATGCTAAAGGGTAACTAAACAGGTCGCAGGTTAATGTTTGGAGGGTCACTGGATTTTTACCCTTCAAAAAGTACTTAAGCTTAATTAAATCGTCATTTGTTTTCCCTGGGAACACCTATCCAATCAGTTGTACTGAATCTGGAGCCTAAACCAGACCACACAGGGTTCCTGTCCATCACAGCACACACGCTGTTAACCTTTTGATACAAAATATGCACATACAAATATTTACGTTTGTTTATATACCTTTATTTAGCTAATCCATGCATTTGTATAAATTATTTACAATGTATGAAGGGAGGAGACATTGTGACGGAAGGTGAAGTGGAGTGTGGGGTGGTGGAAAGTAGTTTTTTAATTTTTTTATTAAAGAGTTGGACGAAAACGCAGTTTAGCAGTGTGTTAATTGCTAGTTAATATTGGTAGCAGAGGATGGCTGGTCATAAGATTCCGCCAACTTTTGACGAGGACAAGCCATATGAAAGCTGGAAGAATGAAGTCACGGTCTGGACAAGGGTAACAGAACTTGACAAAGAAAAATAAGCACTCACAGTCACTTTGGCGCTATCAGGGAGAGCGAGGGAAGCGGTGATGGAAGTGCCAGTAGATGATTTAAACGAGGAAAATGGCATGACAACACTGCTTAAAGTGCTTGATAGCATATTTCTAAAAGAGGAAAAGGATCGAACTTTGATTGCATTGGGAGAGATAGTAATGTCTCCATGATGGACTATGCAATTGAATTTGAACAGAGATATTCGTGGACGCGTAAGTACAACATGGAACTTCCCGACGCTGTGTTAGATACTGCATGCTTGGAAGTGAAAGATCACCAGTTAGCGCTAACAGCGCGTACAGAATTAACTTTTGCCTCTATGAAATCGGCACTAAAGAAGATTTTTGGAGGGAAGCAGTCTGTTACAGCCATGGGAATTAGTTAAAATAATGCATATGCGACGGAGCACAGGTGACAGAGAAACAAACAGTGGTCCAAAAATGATCAACAAAAGACACCGCTGCCAGGTACCAACCCTCTGGACAGGTACGGGCGCAGATGGAAATGTGCAGTTTGCCAAAGCACTTTCCACTAGGCTAAAGACTGTCCGCATAAGGGTGATCAAATAAAACTGACAGAGGACTATAAAAAGGATGGCACTGAGGAGTGCAACATTACTCTCTTTGCTGAAGAGTCACCTACTGAGGCAGAAATCTTTATGACTGAATGCTTTGGATCCACAATAATAGATACAGCATGTACGTGCACTGTATGTGGAGAGGAATGGCTAGATAGCTGCTTTACAAAAAACTTAGCCGAGGTGAGCTTACCACTCTGAAGGAGACAGAACAATACAGTCATAGGCCATCTAAGTTTGGTGATGGAAAAGTGATCCACTCCATAAAAAGGTTAAAAAGTCCTGCAAAAATTGGACAAACCAAGTCCAACATTGAGACTGAAGTTGTCCCAGGAAAAATCCCACTGCTTTTGAGTAAAGCATCCATGAAAAGAGCATGAACTCTGCTAGATCTAAAAAATGATAGAGCTGTGATGTTCAACTAGCCAGTAAAACTAGACTTAACCAGTTATGGTCATCATTGTGTGAACATTGTGGACAGAAAAGACAGAAGTGTAAAAAAAAGGATGACCATGTTCTTGTAGCTATTGAGGACACTTTGAATGAACACAGGTGTGAGGATTAAGGAATATCAGTGTGAAGAGGAAATATTGACAATCTCAGAAAAAACCAACAAAGCACAGAAACAAAAAAATACTGGTGAAACTCCATAGACAGTTTGGTCATGCTTCATCTGACAGACTAATGAGACTTCTATCTAGCTCAGGCAATAAAGACCCTGAATGTGCTACCTTTCTGCAGAGAATTATAAGTGAATGTGAAACATGTCAGAGATACAGCAGGACCACACCTAAGCCAGCTGTGGGCCTACCACTGGCATCTCAGCACAATGAAACTGTCGCAGTAGACCTACATGAACTTGAGCCCGGTGTGTGGTATCTTCACATTATTGACCAGTTCACAAGGTTTAGTGCAGGAAGCATTCTGACCACAAAGAGAGGTTCTGAAATAGTGAATCACTTAATACATGACTGGATAAGCGTGCATGGCCCACCTCAGAAACTGTGACAGTGGTGGAGAGTTCAACAATGGTGAGGTGAGAGATGGCACAGAATTTCAACGTAGAAGTAAAGACAACAGCTGCATACAGTCCATGGAGCAATGGACTGCTAGAAAGACACAATCAGACACTGACTGAAATTATAGTGAAGGTGAGATCAAGTAATGGCTGTGACTGGGAAACTGCATTGGACTGGGCACTTACGGCAAAGAACACCTTGCAAAATGTTCATGGTTACAGTCCTCATCAGTTGGTGTTTGGATTCTGTCCAAACTTGCCCTCTGTGCTGATCGACAAGCCTCCAGCATTAGAGGGCACCACAAAAGGTGAGTGGGTAGCCAAGCATATCTCTCTCCGCTTTACATGCAGCAAGAAAAGCATTTACACAGGCAGAATGTTCAGAAAGAATAAGGAGAGCATTGCGTAAACAATTGCGCAACACGGACGAGAGATATGGAATGGGCGACAAAGTGTACTATAAGAGAGTGGACTGTCCAGAGTGGAAAGGACCAGGAGTTGTGATTGGTCAGGATGGAGCAGTGGTCTTTGTCAGAAACGGAGGAACCTGTGTGAGGGTACACTGCTCCAGACTCAGAAAGGTTAGCATTGATGATCAACACCTCAGAAATGACAATGCTGGAAATGACGACATCAATCAAGGAGAAGAGTTAACACAAGCAGCTGAATATAACATGGATATGGATGATTACATTGAAAATGACACAGACGTGGAGAAAAGATGGGAGATAACAGGAACTACTGACAATGACATAAATGACACAGATACTGAATGCACAGGGACAAGCACTAGGATGCAGAGTATATCACAGCACGCTGTTGATGCTGTAGAGACTCGTGACAGAGAACAGACGATCAATGTCCGTCTGAAAACAGGGCAAGTTTTAATATACAGAGTCAGTGACACGGGGGATATACACAGAGCAGAAGTTCTCGGGAGAGCCGGGAAAGTCACAGGTAAATACAAGAACTGGGTTAATCTGCTGCTTGTTGAACCAAACAATATTGAAGGTCAAACAAATTCAGTTGATGTATCAAAATTAGAACTATTAGCACAGATGAAAGTGAGGATGTATGGGTGACGAAAGATGTTTCATTTGGCCAGGGCCAAACAAGCTGAGATGAAGAGTTGGAGAGACAGCAATGTGTTCGAGGAAGTTCAGGATGAAGGACAAAAGGACTAAATGTGTGCACTCTGAAGGAGACAAGGGATTGATACAGAAAGCAAGATTAGTAGCTAGAGGTTTTGAGGAGATAGAAGTGTCAGAGCTACAAAAGGATTCACTTACATGTTCCACAGAGTCTCTTCGCTTACTTGTGTCAGTGATCAGTCAAAGGCAGTGGACACTTCACTCGATGGGAATAAAGTCTGCATTCTAACAGGGAACTGAACTGTCGCGTGATATTTTTATAAGACCCCCACCTGAGGCCAACTGTAAAGGAACACTGGAAGCTGAAAAGGTGTGTGTACGGTCTGGCAGATGCCTCACTGTACTGGTACAACAGAGTGAGAGAAATAATGCTACAAGCAGGAGGAAAAATGTCCAAAGTTGATCCAGCTGTTTTCTATTGGACAGATCAAGACTGTGCGATCACTGGGGTACTTGCCTGTCATGTAGATGACTTCATACGGGGAGGTATACTAAATTTCTCCAAAACGGTAATACCTAACCTCCGGTCTGCTTTTCAAGTTGGACGTGAGGAAGAATAAACTTTGTTACTACGGGCAAAATTGTTCAAATGCACCAAGAGAACTACATTCAACACATGCAGCCAATACATGTGGATCCTTCAAGAGCTGTTGAACAAGACTCCTCTCTCAATGAGGAGGAAAAGAATCAGCTTAGGTCAAAGATTGGCCAGATTCTCTGGGTAGCGAGACAAAGCCAGCCAGATGTCATGTTTGATGTTAGCAACCTGGCATCCAAACTAAAAGACGCAACCGTGCAGGCAATCCATAAGGCAAACAGAATAGTGTGCAAGCTTAAGTCCAAGAAAGTGGTGCTAAACTTTCAACACGGGCAGAGACAGCGCTCTCAAGATTGTCATGTTCAGTGATGCCTCATTTGGAAATCTTTCAGATGGAGGCACTCAAGGAGGAGTCAAAGAGAGTAAAGAGAGTGGTGGAAGCCCCCTTGCTGGAGTGACACTGGCGATGTCAGATGGAATTGATAATGCCATGTTTCTTGCTACGTTGTTTTCTGAACTGTCCAATGGAGATGCTGAACACGCGCCACCTATGTGTGTCACAGACAGTCATTCTCTTGCTAATGCACTGAGGTCCACAAAGTCTGTCACAGAGAAAAGACTATGTCTGGAGATAAGCAGCATTAAAGAACTTATCCAAGCACAGAAGGTTTGGCATGTGTTGTGGTACAGCACAAAAGAACAACTTACAGACTGTCTTACCAAAGAGGGAGTATCAGCTCACCAGTTACTAAAGGTACTCAGTGAAGGACAATGGAAACTTGAATAAACAAATTACTTATCAAAAGGGAAGAGTTACTGTTTACACTGTTTTTAGGTGATGTTCATTCTTAAGGTGTAATAGAATGATATTCAAATTTTTTTTTTTTTAGTGAGTTTCAGTGAGTTTGTTAAGCTTTTGATACAAAATATGCACATACAAATATTTATGTTTGTTTCTATACCTTTATTTAGCTAATCCATGCATTTGTATTAATTTCTTACAACGTATGAAGGGAGACTTTTATTGTGACGGAGGGTGAAGTGGAGTGTGGGGTGATGGGAAGTAGTTTTTTTTTTTTTTTTAATTAAAGAGGAGTTGGACGAAAACGGAGTTTAGCAGTGTGTTAATTGCTAGTTAATACATGGCACACTCACACTGGGAAGACTGCAGAATTTCCTGGGTAAAACCCGGAAAATACTGCAAGAACCAGCAAACTCCATGCATAGTTACAACACCTGCTTGTACACAATAGTCCAAAGCATCAGTTACTCAACTAAAAAAAAATGCTAATACTTCATACCACCTCAACATTTGGCTCACCTACATAATTTACCCTGAGAGAGCAAAACTGAAGCATAAATGGCTTTGTGACTCACCGGTGATGTTGCAGTCTTTCAACAGGGCCTGATGTGACTGCCGAATGCGGCGTACATACTCTGTGGAGATGTGATAGATCTTTGTACAGATGCCTTCTATCGAATCCTTGGCAACGGCGGCCACATGAGGGCCACACTGTTTGCGTAAGTGCTCTAGACGGTCCTGTAAGTCAGAACAGCACACAAGTACCACGATTAGCACCACAGAATCCGCTCGGTTCGATATTCGGATCAGTATCGGTGCAGATCCACACCTATTCGACAGATTGGGTGCTGGCCATACGTAAATCGATCCACGTCCGATATTTTAGTTACTGGCAGTCTGTAGATCATGTTAAATGTATTTGCACAATCAATTGCACAACACCTCTTTCCAATTTTAGATGTGCTTTTTGCGGCATTCAAGCTGAACGCTAATACTGCCAGTCAGTGTGCGGTGACGCTGTTATGTCACGCGCATACCCTTTTTATGCACTCACTGCAGCTTGTGACACACGAGGGGCTGCTACTAAAACAAAGTGACGCTGTTGCCAGAGGGAGAAAAATTGTGGGGCATTTTAAGCATTCGCCACTTACATATATTTTCCTGGAAGATATTCAATTTGAACTGCAAAATGCCTCAAACACACTTAAAACAAGATGAACAGTACGTTATGTATGTTACTAGTAGTCTAAATTAGTCATTTTAATCTCTATTTACTATAGATATTAATATTATATATTTATACTTTATGTATTATTTCAATACAGTAAATATAAAGCAAAAAAAAAAAAAAAGAAGAGAGCTCTTGCATCGGAATCTGTATTGGTATTGGCAGGTGTGTATCTAAATTGGATTGGAAAAAAATGTGGATCGGCCCATCAAAAGAATCAACAACTGTATTTACAGAAACAGTGTCACCATAAAGAATGTCCTTACAAGCGGCCTGGTGCAGGTTCTGCAACACCTCGCACTACCAGTCCCTCCAGGAGGTGCTTAAAACAGCAGATAGAGCCCCCCGATATCACATCGTGACGTAATCATGATTATATGGCGCATGCACAATAATCCACAGGGCTTTAGATAACGGGTGAAACATTGGTCCAGACGATGGCTTTTCGTTACTTTATGGACATTTGCTTACGCCCACAATTTGGTAGGCAGAAATGATAACGAGATGTGTATTGTGACACCCAAAGGTAAGTATTAATTTGCCATAGGTTTATTAAATTCAGTTAGTGGAACACTCCATATGGTGCCGTTTTGGTAAATCATGAAAGCGATAAACACTGAAGTGGCGGTGAAGAAAGGGACAGCTCAGCAACCACAACATCTTTTTAAAGAGGAGATACAGTGGATAAATAAGGTAAAAAGGTGGTGGTGGTACGTTTTGCAGTTTGAAGTCAGACACGTTTATTAAACAAAGATATTCCGAATTTATATAGAATACTAACTTTTGGGGGTCATATTATACCTCCTTAATATTTTAGGTGCACTACTAAACTGCTTACCAAATTGTAGGCCTACGTAAATGCCCATATAGTACCAAAACACTGGCGTCTGAACAAATGCTAAGCCCTGGTGATTATTGTACATGCGCCATATAATCGCGATGAGATATCATGCAGCCCTAACAGCAGTGCTGATCACCAGGACCACTCTGCCTTCTCTGCTGGACATTTTCAATGGCCGCTGAATCCAGAGGCCACTGGCATCATCAAGGACCATCGCACCCCTCTTGCAGATTCTATGCTCCACTGCCATCTGGTATGAGGTTCTGTAGCCTCAAAGCCGGGACAGTGAGGATAGAAACAGGTTTTTTTTCCCCTCACACCATTCAGCTGCTAAACAGCATGGGTCCTCCCAGGCTAAGTCTAGATCTCGTTAAAGGACTGATAACTATCTAAATCCATTTATTTATTGCACATTCTAATTCAATGGAAAACATCTTACCAATTTTCACAATTTTTTTCCCCTATCAAGTAGTCAACTGTATCTCTCCAGCAGTCTTAACATGTATTAAAATATCACTTCTATATTATGTCTATGCCTTAGAATTTATATTCTGTTTATTACTATATCTCAATTCATTTGCACTACAACCAACAAGAACATTATTTCAGCTCGTTGTTTGATTCCATGCATTATATATCCGAACCTGACAATAAGAGACACTTTCACATGAGAATACCCATGTTTTTTCAGTAAAGTCCAACAAAAGTAGTGAAATATAAAAGCAGGTGTAATTAGCTGAAAGTATAGTCATGTGGTGAAATTTTTGTAATTGACACTAGAGGCTGTGCGATATGACCAAAATCTCAAATCCCGAAAAGTGCACCTCGCATTTATGGATGTTTTCCTACAGATCAGTTGCAGTTGGGGGGGGGGGGGGAATCTGCAAAAAAAGCAGAGTGAGGTCACAAATGTACCACGATCTACAAATGGATGGGAAGTGATCCACAAATATGCAAAACCCTTTTCACATATACAAATCGCTCCATATTTTTGTGGATATGATTTTACACAACAAAATTTTTTTTTTTTAAATACACACGTACATTTGTGGCTATGATGTATTTTTTTTTCCTAAAGATCAATTGCAGTATATGGAGCCCCTAAGAGGTCTGGGTGGGAAAATATTTTTTAAATAGTTTTGCGTTCCCTCACAATACTTTTCCATTACTAATAATACTGTGTCCATTTAAAGTACAAAAGATGGAATTAATGGACTAGGATAAACCTAAACAATATAGACATGTCCAGTTGTGTGCTTTAAGCATTAAACTATAGGGGACAATGCACACTATGTAATTTTCATACATGTGTTTTTAAACGTATATACTAATTATTGCACTGTGTCCATTCACCATCAGTGATTGTAAACAAGACAGCTGGGCTACTGAATGTGAAGTGCACACACAAACACTGAAATATTCATTCATATTTGCCCATAAAGAAATCTGGAAAGCCAAGGGGTGGTGTTTGCTTTTGTTGAAAGACATTAAAGGTGAAAAATTGAATATAAAGCTAACTTTACTATGGAGTCATAACTAAGGTTTAAACCCAAACCTACTTTCCCCACAGTGCAATTATTAATAAATATGTTTAAAACACATTATATTAAAGTTACATGGTGTACATTGTCCCCCATGCCGTCATGTTGCAGCAAATAGCAAGTGGGCAAGTGTAGTGGGATCGCAAAAGTATTGCGAGTGAAAACAAAACTATTTCAAAAAATATTTTTCCACCAAGACCTCTTAGGGGCTCTGTAGTGGTACGAATCGGACAAAAATCTACAAATCAATAGGAGGGACGTCACAAATGTAACACGATCCACAAATAGACAGGACATGATCTACAAATGGGCAAAACACGTTTCCCGTGTACAAATCGTTCTCTATTTTTGTGGATACCAGTTTACACAACACAATTAAATATTTGTGGATCTTGGTACATATTTGTGGATTGTCTTTTGTGGGTTACAAATAATTAAGTCCAATAAAAACTTCCATTCAAGTGCCTCGTTCCATGTGGTGGTGTGAAACCTTGCAAAACTGCCATCCAAATGATGAAGAAATGTTGCCGTAAACAGTCAATTTTGCAACACTACGAAATAAACAATAGAGCATAATATGAAACGAGACGTTATTTTGTCACCAGAATTACGTCGTCATATCGCACAGCCCTGATACCATTAACCGATTTAAGATTCTTAACCAAATTAAGAATTTTTCCATCTTTTTATATAGCTGAGTATTTAACTGGAAAAAGTCAAGAAGTACCACAGAGTAACAGGGGTGCAATTACAGTCCCCAGTCTGAGACCTTAACTGACAGACACTGAGATATGTCCTTAAGCACTATACCATCTGCAGAACAGATCGGGGGTTGGACTCATACCATGTAGTCCTCCTTGCTGGCAGAGTGGTCTTTCCTCAGCCAGTTGATGGTGTCCTCCACGTTCCACTTGACCACCTTCCTGCTGTCTGGTGTGGCATTTCTGTAGGAGCAACCAAGTTAATCCCAAAATGCTTTGAGATTATGATTCCTGCAACCCTGACTAGGACAAGCAAAAGGACGGATGGACAGATGGATGAGATTACACTGACAAACTCCAAGCACAAGCTAAGCATTTTACCGTTAAAGGATGTCAGTTTTTCAAGTCCTACCCATTATTACCACCAGTTTGGTTTGCACAGAACATGACTAGCAGTCTTCTAACATGACACACAAATACTTCAGAAAAATACCTTGATTCAATCATTTTTTTCGCAGCCTCTGCATACTTCAGCAACAGCTTTCGAGCTTCCTCCTTGTACTTAATGCGAGATAACCTGAAACAAAATTTAAGCACTAATGCATTTAACATAAAAACTGCATTTTTCTCACTAAAGGTTTTAATGAGTCAAATACACCCATGTGACAATGGCAAACCAGGCCTGGCCTCAGCTTTGAAATGTTGAGTGTGTCACAAGATTATTTAAAGGGGGCGGGGCAATGGCAGGGGCGGGGCAATGGCAGGGGCGGGGCAATGGCAAACCAGGCCTGGCCTCAGCTTTGAAATGTTGAGTGTGTCACAAGATTATTTAAAGGGGGTGGGGCAATGGCAGGGGCGGGGTCAAGCAAGTGAAACAAGGCCTGTGGCAAATCATCTTAAAGGTCAGAGGCAGTACTGACCTGATGGGGATGTCATTCATGACCTCACGAAACATGGACGGGGAAATGACGGGGTCACATTCACTGGGCAGCAGGGGGTCCGGGCCCTTATCCACCACCTTCCGCTCAAGCAGCCAGCGGTTGAACGACTCTCTCGGGGGCTCGATCCCTGGGTGGATCAAGCACGGTCATGTCTGAAGCTTTTACACATCAAAATATTGAAAATATCAAAGTATCCTCAGCATCAATGTCACCTAGAAGTTGGATTTGATTATTATTATTATTATTATTATTATTCTTTTAAACGGTGCCATAAAAATTAAGAGGAAAATGCTAATATTGTATTTAAAAAAAATGCAGGACAGAAGATTGCATAGTATTTAAACCTGGACCTAATTTACTGTAAAAACCTACGTGACCAACTCCGTCACTTAAAATATTCAGCTGATGAAAGTTGAATTGTAAACTAGATACATAGCTATAAAAGCACATAAACATAAAATGTCAGCATCATTAATAAAACAGTAATAAACAAAGCACTTGCATAATCAGAATGAGCCTCTAGAGGCTTCTGCTGGCTCTTCTGGAGCGTACGCACCCTCCCGCTGGCTGCAGAGCTCATGGTAGTGCTGCCGGAGCTTGGTGGTCAGTTGTGCCCTTTGAAGCTCCATCTCCGGGTGGGGAGGCAGGTAATCGGCGGGAGCCCTCTCTCGGATCACGGCGTTGGTCTGCACGTCCAGGTCCCAGTACACTCTGCAAGGATGTGTGGCGACAAGAGTATTCGCAGGAGGGACAGGGAAAATGCCGACAAGTGCTACACTATGGGGGCTAATTATTCGGACCCACCGAAGCCTAAAGTACTGTGAAAGCCTTGTGTTAGGATACCAGGGCAAAGCACTTCTGCATAAGCACCCCCAGGAAGTGCACTTTTACGTTTACATTTATTTAGTAGACACTTTTATCCAAAGCGATGTACAATTGAGAAAGCAGGGTCAACCAGTCTCTGGAGCAACTAGGGTCAAGAGCCTTGCTGAAGGGCCCATTTGCCCACTCAGCCACACACGGCCTGCACTTATGCGAGGCAGCCCTCGAACGCTGATGTACGTACGCCGTCGGACGGTAAGGTGCGGGCGGGGGCAGGACGGGCATCTGTTTGTCTTCCGCTGTTGAGCTCCATGGCTTAGCCCCAGGAGTACTGGGGGAAATGGGGACCGTGGGGGTTGTCGGAGTGACGGGAACATCAACCTGGTCATATTGGGACAGAGATGAAAACCATAAAACCACAGGCAAAGGGGTAGGGCATGGAACTGACTCATTGGCTTTTGAGATATTTTGTTGGGATATTTTAACAAAAACAACAACCTGCAAAGGGTCCTTTGGGTTGCATTCTACAGTTTATTTCACATTTTAAAAAGTAATCGTGAACTTTTGGTGGGTGTTTAAAATTAACACATTTAATATAGCAACAAACAACTGAGGCAGACTGTATATACAGTTTATCCACAAGGCAATGCATGACTCACCCGAGGCCTTTTGAAACTATTAGGGTTTCCCTGGGGAGTCTCCTCCGATAAACGTCTCTTGCGCTGTCCATTCCCAAGCCCAGGATCCGCCACCACTTCCCCAGAGGCTGGAGCAGCATTCAGACCCAGCGGGTCAGACTGTAAAGACAGCAGCGACACGATCATCGGCAAACTGACATGAAACGGACAGAGTTACACCAGGCAGCGGTTCTCTAATTTACCTGATCGACAGTTATGGCTATTGTGTTTTGACGCAAAAGGGGCGGCACTCACAATGACATCATGCTGCCCCAGCACAGGCATCTCCCACAGGGACTGGTTGGTGAAGCGGTTGAAGTAGTACGGTCGATTCTCACGCTTGCTCCAGCACTTGGACCAGCCAGCCTGGATGAGCTCATCTACAAAGACAAGGAAAACTACATTCATCCATTCAATCATAAAACCATCATCTAAAGCAGCCGATTGCGCTATCACTTTTGCTGTTACTAGTAGCTATAAAATCCTACTTGTCAATTACTGCAATTAAAACGAAATTTCTTTTTACTCCATTCTGTCAATCAATCATCAATTCAATCCTAAATTGACAATGATTCTGCATTACACATGATGAGCTTCAAATAGCTATAAAACTCTACTGGTCAATTAGGGGAATTTAAATAATAAAAAATAATAATCTATTTCCCTTGTTGAAAACATCCAAAGTGATGAGAGGGAACTCCTGTGCTGAAGGATAAACGTTTAGCCACCTGGGAGCTCTTGCACGGGCTTGCTGGTGGAGGGCAGGTGAGGATGCCCTTGCGAGGAAGAGCCAGACGGAGACATCATCAGCGCCGAGTCTCCTTTCAGAGTGCCGTGGTTTTCAGTTGTCATTTCTCCTCATCTGTCCTGTACATGCATATATCCAGAGACTTGAACCAATCTCTTTAAACTGGCATTTTAAACATAATGGTTAAACGACAAACATATCATTGAGTCGATGGTTCAAATCCCTGGATGGGACCACAGCAAGGTACCCAATTTGCTTCAGGTAAATCTTCATCGTTATATTAAAGTAATTAATTAGTTAAAATCTCGGTTCACTGAGAATTAAAGTAATCACTGTACAATAAACGTTAGAAACTTTGAATAAGAACTTGCAAATCGATCCAGAAAGTTAGTCTGGAGTGTGACAATTATCGTGTCACTGTGTATTTCGATTACTTAATCATTTGCTGTCATGTTTCTAAAGCCTCAACATTATTCTTCTTTTTATTCATCCTGCCATTATGTTTTACACGCGTTTAGAAAGCTAACAGACATCTTGTAAAGTCGTAAAAAAAACTCCCTCGAGAACCAGTTTAGCAACTGCATTGTCAAGCCGTCCGTACTAATTGTCCGCAACGGCTGAAATCCAACTCAGATATAACATCCTAAAGAAAAATCCAGACGAATTGCGAACCACTGCATTCGTGCCACGGTAATTAATCGTTTGGGAAGGGGATGACTGGGGCAATTTCGTATTACAAAACATTTTAGTGAACCAATCTTTTTTAAAATAAAAAAACGGGTTAGCTAGGTTGTTAGCAGAATTGCGTGTTAACTTCGAAGCTTGTTATCGGTTTGTAATTGGTGTGCAGATTTGACATGGGGGAAATCGAGGCCATCATCTTCAGTTTATTCAACGGTATATGCCAAACGTATTTATAAACATTAGAAAGCGCCTTTTCGCTTTGCTCCTCATTGCTAACACAAATCAGCGGTAAGGAGGACACGCATGCGCCTGCTTCGCCGCCCACCCCAGAAGATCGAGCCGCCCGAAAACAAATACAAAGGAGGAGGGGAAAAACCCTGGGCGGCTGCACCGCGCAACAAAAGGCAACAGGAACATCGCTGACCCCAGACTGGGGGGAAGACGCGAAAAAGAGCGAAAATACGGTAGGGAATGGCCCCAACCTTATAGATCGGGGCGCATAAAGGAGAGGAATCGATGCGAGTAGCCGTACACGGGGTTAAACATGGAAAAGGTGTTCAAAAAAGGTGCGGCTGATCGCCTCGGCTCCTTGAAAAGGCGGCCAGTTTTCGGCGCGCGCGCTGCTCTGGGGAAGTGTAAACAAGATGGCGCGCGCGCTTCGCGCAGAGCCGCCGCGCTCCCCTCACAACATATCTCTTGTTTATTACGTACACTGCACAAGCGTGCAGAATCCGACCAGATATTCCCAGACCCCATCCATTCCGCCACACGTCCTTGCAGTCGTTATCCGACTTCCATGCCCAATTCCCTTACCTTTGAGAGGTTTGTTGGGAATCCGGTACAGGCTTTACTCTATTCAATCCAGACCCGCCTCCGCCTCTCCCTCCCCACCGTCTCCGCCATCTTGTATCGGGGACCCGGGCCGGGGTATTGCGCATGCACCAGTTTAATCGACGCGCCACTCGTTTTCGGCGTAGGTAAGTAGCCATGTTAAGTGTGGCAACAGCAAAGTCTATCAGAGAATGCATGCAATTATGTACTATGAGCATGCAAGAATGCAACCGATAAATGGGAAATAATTATTTGCCTTAATGTAATCAATGATTTTATTTGTAAATTGATTCAGCATTTCAGTCACAATTTTATCTTATACCTTTATCTTATATTTATTATGTATTTTATGTTTTATATTTGTAATGTATTTTTATTTAATGTTAACTATGCAGTTGTTCTCCTACTTTACAAACAAAAGATTCATGCTTAACAGTTTTTCAAGCCTTGTCTTTTGCCCACTAAAGGAGCCAGAAGTCTAACCAAATCAAAGGACGAAAGTCACTTATGTGTTGTTAAAAGAACATTTGCCTAACCAAATAAAAGTTCAATATTTATTGTGTAAGGGTGCTGCAGTATGGAGTAGTACATTTCCGGACGTTGTGAGTTTGATACTCTCTGCATCCATACTGGAATTGTAACGGTTATATCATTTTCAGTTCGGAACGTATAATGTTCTGATTCAGCTAATTCAGAAAAGTTTTGTTTTTCGCGTAACATGGGATGTTCTTGGAGATTGCCCAGTTGAATTTAATTCTGCAGTGAGCTTACAAATATTAATCCTTTTCTCTGATGAGTTACATGTGCCTTGTATTAATATATAAATTTGTTTTTTCTTTAGATTTTTTTCTATTGCCATGTTCATTCTTGTCTACGTTAAAGAGAAGATACACGAAATGCAATCTGACTGTTTCCTAATGGAATTATGTTTAATTGTGATTAGATCTCAGCTATTTGTTTCTACCATTAAGAAAGAAAAAGGACTCTGGCGATGAACTCAGGATGCCGTCAACCAAAAGCCAGGTGACCGAAATGAAAGGGCGCCCTCTGCATTGCTGTTGTATTTACAGTGGTACCTCGGCTCACGAACTTAATTCGTTCGAAGACTCAGTTCGTGACCCGAAAAGTTCGCGAGCTGAATTATTTTTTCCCATTTAAAATAATGTAAATACAAATAATTAGTTCAAACACTTAATTTTTTTTCCACTTTTTTATGTTTTTCTGTGACCAAGAATATAGACTTAAATTAAAATAACCTTAATTAGATATGTGACTGTTAAAAACCATCACAAACATGTTTATCAATCACTGAAAGGTACCACTATAACAGAACGTACTCTCTCTATATATTTTTATTTTTTCAGATATTCGACCTCTGAAGAGATATAATAAAGACATACATCTAGAACAAGTTTTTTATACATTCCACACCCGTACTTGGGCATGATGTACACTTCTTCGTGTTTCGGGTGGTTCTTTGGGGCGCTTTTGGGGGATGTTTGTGTGTCGCAGCCTGAAACACGGTTCGCGAACCAGTACAAACCAGTACATCTGGTTCGTAACACAATTTGTTCATGGACAGGACTGTTCGGGGGTCGAGGTACCACTGTGTTGTTGATTTTTGATGACCAATTTTAACCTTTTTGTTCTTAATGTCAAGTTTTACTGCACTATTATCATCAGGTCAAATTCCTGTGTACTTGTACATTTGGTAAAAAAAATGATTTTGATTCTAACAATTCAAGATTTTCAGTTAAGCGCGATTCAGTCCTGTCACTGATGAAAGGTTTGGTGGTGAGAGTGATAAACTCCCCACGGATCCATCAAATGATGTGGGTCAGTATTCACAGAAAAATCTCTGCTTGACTTGTATGGTTCCCCAGATCTGTTCTGCTCCCTCCGTCCCAGAACTCTGCTCAAATGTGGCAGTTAAGCAAATCAGTCATGGACCAAATAGCCTGTCTACATCTTACCTTGAGACTCGCTCATTGTGTGTCTGCCTTTATTTGTATTTGATGGAATCTTGGTTGCTATACAAGAATTTTAAATCCCAGTTGGTGTCATCTTTAATATCTGTCAGGTGCCTGTTTGAGTCCACTTTCGTGAAAACTTTCGTGGTCTGTTTGAATGGCCTCATGTGACCTAATTCCTATTTCTGCATATGGAGACCATATGCATTTCTTAGCCTTTGGCACCAGTCGCAGTAAAGTTCTGTTTAAAAAAATGTTTCATTCATTGAATAAAAGTTAAACAAAAAGTAACTTTGCTGTCCTGTGATGTCATGTCCCAAAAAGAGGCACAGTGAGTCTTGTGTTCCACCATACCACATTGCCAAGAAGTCACGTGCTTGTGGTTGTACAAGCAGATTTTCAAAAGGCATTTTTTAAGCGACATGTCCTCTTGCACGCAAATTAAAGATCTGTGTTGAATTTCTAGTAAAAAAAGAAGTAAGTAGTAATCTTAAGTTGTGGTAAAGGTCCTCTAAGTCATGTGGTTGTCTTTCCTGGTAATACTTCAAAAACCAACACACTCTTTTTTTTCCCCCAAGTATAAGTGGACAGTTTAGTCTTTTCCAGGGCAAAGTTCTGAAATTGATATATGTGATTATTACTTATTTCCTTAACCATTTTCAGACACACACAAAACCCATGTATTTATTATTTGATTACATATTTTTATTTGTCACAATAAATAATGTAGTTAGTTTGATTTACCTATTTGATGTATAATTATTTGTATCTTTCAACCTTTATTGATATCATGATAACCATTCCCAATTAATGTTATCTAATTCAAGTTTGCAAATAAAAGATTTTAAATTTTGCACTACTGCACAGGCTGTTGCACATGGGGGAAAATTGTCAGAAACTTTTTTTTAAGGGGCCGGGGAGGGTGGGGGGTTCATAAGTAATTTAAATCAAAGCTTTTAAGTAATTTAAATCAAAGCTTTTTGTAAGGATTTACATCTTTTTTTTCATCATGATGCAGCGCTGTGTGAGTGCTGAGCTGTACGTGCTAGCTAGTAAAGTCAAATGCTGTCATTATATTGACCACAGAGTCACGCGACCTCGGCGTTGGGCTACACCCCTTTGTGTTCCCAGCTGCTTATATAAGTACTTAATCTCTTGGGAGACTGAGAGAAAGAGGTGAGCCAGAGCGAGTCAAACCATCCTTCTGAAGTCACTGAAGGGTCAATGAACCAGGAGGACTGGAAATAAGTTCTCAAACCTCGCCAACTTTTTCTGCAATAGCTGTAAGTATTTCATTTTATTGAGTAACTCTAGTGAGCCAATGGAATACCTCACACTGTTGCTGAAATTCTGCACAAAGGTAAGCAACAGCACTTAAATGTACTTTAGGCTTGGTGTTTGTAGCTGAAACTCGGAAAAAACAGCCTTCTAGCCTCCACGATGGCACAGGCAACGGTAAGTTACAGTTAGCGCCATTTAGTGTTTATTTTTGGAATAATATAATTATTTTGAATAAATAAGTTGCCTTCGTTTCGGCTGCTAAGTGAAGCCAGACACATCTAACAAAGGTTACAGCAGAATGTTGTTCCGAAACCCTCTTGTCCAGAAAGAGTAACAGAAGGTTGTATGGTAACTTGTGATTAAACATGAGAAATTAAACTGCATGTAACAAGGAAACTTGAAAGCTGTTTTCATTTAATATTGGGTGATTCTGTAGATTTATTTGTAATGGTCTGGCCTGATAGGCCCAGTGGATTTTGTTAAATTTTACATATTTGTTACTTTTTGATTGAGTACTGTGAACTTTTTATATGGATGTTTTTTTTTGTAGTATTAACATTTTTGAAAGTTTTACTTGTTAACCTCTTAACTAGTCTTGACCAAAGTTTACGTATAAGGCATAACGTTTTAATAAGACCAGAATAAAAATTCACAGATGATTTTTTTTGTGCGTTTGCAAACTTGCATGTCGGTAGAGTAGTGCCATCTGCCGGTAAGTAAGCTATATTGCGTCAACAAGTTAAGTGAATTTGCTTTGCATGTTAATTGTAGGCCTATCAACATACTGTATGTCTATTCTGTTTAATAAATACACAATTTCTTCAGTGTAAATGATATAGTACAACTGATGTGTTTTATAAATAATAATGTAGAAGGTTACAGTTATTTATATTTATAGTGATTATTATCCATGAAGTAAATAACCTTTTTTAAAATTTGTTTTTGAACAACGATAAAGGGATAACTGAATTCTTTTTTGGTCCATTTTACAACCAAAAGGGATAAAAGCATAACTGGGAAAATATCCCAGTATTTTAAGCTCAGAATTGTTTAATAGTTTATGCATTAATCATCACCCCTTTAAAGGAACAATGAAGTGTGTTTTCTATGCTGCACAGCACCAAAGTACTTACACACTGAAACTTTCTGCATATAAACAATTTTTATTTGGGAACGTTTATGCCAGGATGTTTGTTGCCAAATGTTAACGGATATGTGTTTCTGGAAGCTTCATCTGGCATAAAAAATAAAGCATGTAGATGAAGATTAAACACGTAAAGCCTGGTTAATTCACAACAGGAATGCTATTCACCATTTACCAAAAGCATTACCATATAAACCTGGAACTTAACTATGAAGGTGAAATGTTAAATAGTAATCAGAAGAAGGGCAGACACAATTAATTTGAAAACATAAAATATGTATAACTTAAATAAAAACCTATAAAAGTTTTATGTGCTGTTATACAGCTTCCTGAAACTGTTTACCAGAACACATTCTTCTTGGATGTTGCATTCCATAACATCGCTACATGGAGCGCAGATTCCTGGAAATAACAGGCATTAGTACACGCTGTATCTCTTTGGGGCGACTTACTTGAACTCTTATGAAACCAGAGTGCCGAAGCTAAACGCTGATCTGCTGATATTAAATGTATCCTTAACCTCATCATACCAGCTGTGTCGTCACTTGCTTACTTTACATGGGTTGGGTGCAGCTGTCCCTGCGCCCTGAAGCCAACAACCCATTGTGATTGTCCTCCAGCTGAGACCTCGGTGTCAATTTCCCTCACAATTTGGGAGATTTAGGGGATGTTATTTGGATTAAACCAAGACGCCATTCAAATCAGTTGAGCTGGATTGGGGAGTTTGAAGTTTAAAAAGAGAACTGGAAGTGAAAGGGAAGAGTTTTGTTCTCTTGTTTAGTTTTGTTTTGTTCTAAAGGCCTGTGGCAATATTCATTTCTATAGGTTTGTTTCTTTTGTTCAAGAAGGTAATAAAGGGGGTTGGGGGTGCGAACAGAGAACTGCATTACAAAAAAACTCCCAGGGTCATCAAAATAAGCCCACTCCCCCCTGCTCCTCAGTTATACTGGTAAGGGTTACCATAGCAATCAGGCCTACAAGCTCTGGTGCTGCAGGAGACAAAGAGCCAGCAGCTCAGCAGAAAGCAGCAAAAGATGGAGCCCAGGCCCAGAGCCAGTGAAGACCAGAGACTGTCAGTTGCACTCCTGCAGAGGCAAGCAAGGGGCTTCTTTTTTCACAATGTTTTGGATCAATGGCATAAGGGGACTTGAACACAGCAGCCACTGCTATGATGGGAGATTGATTTCTCTCCAGGATTCTGGCTCCCTGGCCATGACACCGATTGGTAAACAGACAACATCAATAGTAGCATCTAACTTAAGCAGTAGAAAAACAAGTTTGCTGCTCTGTCAACAGAGTGTACAAGTAAAACAGGAAGATTTGAGTATCACCACTAATCAAAGCTAATGCTATTGTAATACATGCAGAAATATTCATTGATTACCCAAAAAATGGGGACTTGTCCTGTCTAAAGGGAGCATGTGTTTGTGTGGCCAGTTCTTGCAAAGGAGCCAATGGTGTGAATTCTCTGCATTAATCTCGTGCTGAAACTGTGCTGGAACGTGTGAGTCACGTGTTTCCGGCTGAATGTGAAAGATTTATATGCATATAACTGAATAATGACTGTGCGAGTTGTGATCAAAGCAGAGGGTCATTCAGTTCCGTATTTTTAAAATATGAGACTTAAGCAGCACCTGCAAATATATCACAGCAGAGAATTCTGCCAAGTAATCCTGATGCCTTCTATTCCAATACGTTTTATGATACATTTGAGTGATAATTTGGCTGAACTGTTTATTGTCTCTTAAAAGGAATGCATTCAGTAGATTTATTATAATCAATAATTTGTGACAGCTTGTAACTGGATTTTTAATTAAGTTTTTTTTCAAAGTCCCATAAAAACACATATAAACCTATCCATGTTTTGCAGGCTGGAAGTCGTCCGCAGGCATTCTTACTTGTTTATTTGTCTCTGTTTTTCAGGCTCAGAGACACCATGTTCCCCTGTAGACTGGCTGTCCTCTTACTGATGTCACACATAACTATGATGCTGGCAGAGCCACCTGGCTGCAAGATTCGGATTACATCCAAAGGGCTTGAGATGTGTAAGGCACCAGCACCAGGCATTATCAGTCTCTAAGTGGATTGATGTTTTCACTGACATCATTCTTTGGCTCTATTCTCCAAACCCTTTATGTCTTATCATCTCCACCTACCTCTCCTGTTAACATCTCCACCTCCCTCTCCTTTTCCATGTCTCTTTCCTCCCCCCCCCCCACCTTCTGGGCTTACTGCAGTGAAATCCGAGATCCAGAAGTTTGTGAAGGAAGAACTGGGGAACATCACCATTCCGGATCTGCAGGGCAAGGACGGTGTCTTCCAGTACAAAATTCAAGAGTAAGTCTCCAGTCGTTGGTTATAGACCATCAAACTCCTCTAGCATCTCTGTCTCTGTACACTGAGTCCAGCAGCAGAAGATTGCATTGGTGAGTTATGTCCCATAATTCCCTCACAGTGTGAAGATCAATGAACTGAAATTCACCTTCGTAGACCTACGGTTCCAGCCAGATGTTGGTCTGGTCTTTGAGGTCCACAATTCTTCCATTTCTCTGAGCTTCCAGCGACAGATCCAGTACTGGTTATTGTGAGTCTAATCATGACGTCTCACTTTGGATTAGTGCGCTAATTTTATTTTTAACAATATCGGGGGACTTTGGTATATGTAATAAAAACAAGGACTAAGACCCAAGATTATGGTCTTACACCACTAATGGAGAATCAGGAACAAGTCATGATCTAAAATATGAATATGTTATGTCTCTAAGACATGATGAGGGGGTCATCAATGCCTCAGCAGAAGACGTGAACATCCACACAGCCCTGCACTTGAACAAGGACATGTACGGTCGCCTCAAGATCTCCAACATCTCATGTGATGCCAGCGTGGGAAAAATGCGCGCCAAATTTAGTGGCACCCTAGGGTAAACAAACATCCTCCCATGTTACTTATATCGCTATAAATCTGATCACTGGAAATTTCCAGATCAGGCTTAAAGATGCCAGATATAGAAGGCATAACTTTACTGAAGGACTAGATTGATTAATGCCAAGCATGTTACATGTACCATGATCATCTTACAAGCAAAAGAAAGCCATTCCAAACATAAACAAAGAAAAAGGTAATAATATTCATAGCAGTCAAAATCAGTGTGTGTAAATATGTTTGCAGTAACACAAGTAGGAGGTTCAGTGGGTTGCACTGTTGTCTCTTAACTCCAGAGCTGAAGTTAATGTTCCAGCCTGGCCAAGTTTCCACTTATATTTAATGGGTTTGCTCCAAGTATCCTCTGTAGACATGGAGTCAGGCTACTTGCCATTGCTAAATGGCCCATAATGTGTGTATGTAGGCATGTGATGGATTGCTATCCTGTTCAAGCTGTGCCCCAGACTTGGGTCCTTTGCTACCAGAGGTGGAAATTGCAGGTCCAGAAAATAAAAATCCAAACCAGTTGCATATAAAGAGTCACAGTCACACAGTACTCAACTGATTGGTTGAAACAAAGTCTTGGTCTGGATTTTTACTTTCTGAATTTGAAGTGTCTACCTCTGTTTGCTACTAGAGACAGGCTGCAGGCCCCTCTGACCTGACTCAGGATAAGCAGATAGGAGTTGGACTGACAGTGAGGAGTAAACTTACTATATTACTTACCAAGTTACCATGAGCTCCATTTTTTCTTCATAAAACAGTTTCTGTATAGAAAATAGATCGCAACTTTTTATCTTCTATCTGACTTCTGGGTATTGTGTCATTTCCTTTGTTTGCTTAGGAGGGTATATGACTTTTTGGGTACCTTTCTGACAACAGCCATGCGCCTCATCTTAAACCAGCAGGTAAGGCCAGTACTAACTGTGTATGACACTTACATTCACATTTCCTTACTTGATTTACTATGGTAACATTGGTATTATATTTGTTAATAATATATAATCAACAAATATCCTCCTGAGACCAAGGAAAAAAGTGTCCTTCAGTTTTAGGTTATTTGTCTTTGGAGAAAATAAGACATCTTACAATTTTAGATTTTTTCAAATGTATTTTTATTTTTAATTTCACAGCATGTCCTCTTTAGTGTACAACAGGAATAAATAAGTTTCCCAACATCAGTGAAAAGACAGATGCAAATATAAAATGTCCACTACAATGGACATAAATGAATGGGTGGGGTCTCAGGAGGATATAGCATTATTAATGAAAAGAGTACAGTTCTTGGTTCTGAAGACTTCTGTATCTCAGATCTGCCCAACTCTGAATCATGCTGGTTTAGAATTGATGAACTCCTTGTTGGATACAGTTCCAGGTAAGAGTTAAAAAAAGTCCTGTTTCAAAATGACATCATTCCTGCAAAAAAAGTTGATTCAACATCCAAAACAATTCCCTAGAGCAGGGGTGTCAAACTCCAGTCCTGAGGGGCCGGAGCCCTGTGTAGCTTAGTTCTTTCCCTGTTCCACCACAAATGATTCGGCTCAACAGCTGTGTGGTAATTAGCACAAGAAGTTGAATCAGGTGTGTTAAACGAGGGGAAACCCAAAAAAGTGCAGGGCTCCAGCCCCCCAGGACTGGAGTCTGACACCTGTGCCCTAGAGCATTTAGGATTACATTTTAATGTTGCTGGGTAAGTTTTTACAGTACAGTTCATACTCTTGTCAACACTTTGCACTTAAACATAACATCAAAAGGCATTATTTGCCCTGATTTTGCTATTGAGATCTTTAAGAGGATTTGTATCTGCTCGATGTAATTTAATCCCTGTTGTTTTTCAGTTCGGACAACTGTAGACAAGTACGTAGGTGTTGACTACTCCCTTCTGAGTGATCCGCTTGTGACAGCCAATAACCTTGACATGGATTTCAGGGTGTGTTGCGTTCATATTGATTTATTTATTAGTGGCCTTTATACAAAGTGACGTTCTTTTGAAAAATCGCGGGAAGCCAGTCCATGGAGCAATTGGGGTTAAGGGCCTTCCTCAAGGACCCAGGAGTGAAATCATTCTGTCGACCCTCGGATTTTAACCAGTGACCTTCCAATGATGGGTTCAGAGGCCTAATCCACAGAGCATCATGCCGCCTATGTGACAGGTCATAAATGTATTGCAGAATATCGTATGTACAGCATATATGCAATCAGCAAAGAGAGATGATCTTCTGAAAGAGGCCTCCCCACCTCCTGTGCAGGGAATGTTCTTCGAGCTCCACAACGTGAGCGACACACTGGTGAACTACGCTGTCTACCCAGTGGTCAGGGAGTATGACCGCATGGTCTACCTGGCCCTGTCTGAGTACTTCTTTGACAGTGGGATGTACGCCTACTTCAAAGCTGGAGTTTTCAAGATGGTCATCGCCAATGAGAAGGTGGGTATTTACCAGCCTGCATGGTTCTTTATTGCTATTTTGAAAACATTTTCTAAATAGAATGTATTTAATCCTGGAGAAACACAATATAGCATAATGTGAAATAATACTGTCCATTCTAAGGCCACATCTTATACTTTATTTGTACTAACCTCATCTTAAATGCAATGGTTTAGGATATTAAATGTTATTTTTCCTGTTTCATACTTACTTAATATATACTTTAGACTTTGTATGTAATTGTTCATAATTATAGCTTAATTGTCAGAAATGTCTTCTGTTTATTTTTGTTATTTTTAGTGGTTTCTGTCTAATTGGTCATTATTTTCATTAAATGCAAAGTCATTCATTTGTATGCTGGTTTTTTAAATAAAGGTTTGTTGCCATTTACAGTCCAAGCTGTTTCAATAATTATTCTAATAAGACAAAATTATTTATGATTTCAGATGCCAAAGGACCTGGAGATGCTACTGAGGACAACCTATTTCGGCACGATATTCATGCTGGTGAGCACACACCGCGAATTTGAGGACAGCTGCTTTGGGCATCTATAGCAGTGTCTCCCAATCTGGTCTTCAGGGACCCACAGACAGTCCACATTTTTGCAAAAACATGGACTGTCTGGCAGGGAGCTCGGAGGGAGCAAAAACGTGGACCAGCTGTGGGTCCCTCAGGACTGGGTTGGGAAACACTGATCTATAGGAAACTCAGTGTGGAGATTTTCCTTTGACCGTCTAGGAGAAATGTACTGATGTGTTTCTCTTCTGCCTTGTTCAAACATGTCTTATTAATGTATCTCTTTAAAAGAACCCTGCTCTGGTAGAGGCCCCCATCTCCTTGCACCTAGAGGTGACCAGTGCTCCACACTGCGTCATCAGGACATCGGGGGCCAGCGTGGCCGTCACCTCTGTGGTCACCGTGATGGTGCTGCCTCCTGGCCAGCTCCCTGTGCAGCTCAGCAGCATGACCATGGTGAGATCTGCTTACCCCAGTGATGACTGTGGCCTTACTGACCATGGTGAGATCTGCTTACCCCAGTGATGACTGTGGCCTTACTGACCATGGTGAGATCTGCTTACCCCAGTGATGACTGTGGCCTTACTGA